AGGAAGAAGAAAAATAAGAAATGGCGTCCTTAACCAAAAAATCAATCTTCAACCTCTCCAAGGCCTTCCCACATCGAGCCTTTTCTGTCTTTATCGGTCGTCAAATCTGGAAGGTAAGTCTTTTCTATACTAGCTTTGATGTAGCACAAAATTTACTGAACCAAGTTACGTTGTAGGATCTAGCATATGCAGCACGTTTAGACTATATATTTAGCACTTTTCAAAATATACATTTTTCGTTTATCAATTAATATGTTAAATTCTGGATCCGGCTTATTTACAAGGCTTAGGGAGATGTTTAGTAGGGTTATTTGTACGGATGATCATACAACTTGTAACTTTCGATATGGTGTACCTTAGCTATAAAAATTACATTTTTTTTAACAGAAAACTAAGTGACTATCCTTCTATGTTGTAGAGAATAGAAACTAAAAGCATCAAAATATATTAAATTTGACAAATCGAAAGTTGGATGGCTAGCTATTTGTGAAATTAACTCTACGTCATTAGTACTTAATTCTTTAGATTTCCAAACAAAGGCACATGCTTATTTATGCTGTGATCTATGCATGCATATGGAAATATATTAAAAGGGAGGATATATTGCAACAGAGGAGTCGTCGGAACCACCACGGTGGAGGCACGACAGGAACTACGGGAGCAGTGAAAGGGGTGGTAAGGTATCTGAAATGGCTGATAAGGCGAAAGAAGTGAAGGATAAAGCAAAGGAAACAGCTCAAGATGCTTGGAAGGCAATTGAGGATACTGCTGAAGAGATGAAAGAAAAAGTGGTGGGAGATGTAGATCCAGATAATGTTCAAGATGAAATTATGGTGGAAGATGAGAAAGAACTTAGGAAGAAGTTGGCTAAAGAACCAGGAGGAAAACCTGTGGATGAAGATAAAGGTGTTGATGTGAATTGGAGACCCATTATTGAGAAGAAACCACAAGCTTCTTGAAACCATCCTTTTTTTTTTTTGCTGTCTTTTTTAAGAATAAAAATAAAGCACAGTAGGACTTGTTAGTGGCTTGAAGTTTGTAGTCCCACTAGTCTAGATCAATTATAATAAGAGACGACATGAGTCTCTATTTGGAATATTGCAAGAAAATGTAAATTTGAAATTGTTTTTTTTTCCTTTGGGTGAGTTTTGAGTGTTCGAATGTGTATCTTTTCTTCTTTGCATCATCCATAAGTCTAGAGATGAAATGATGAATGAGGAGGTAATGTAAGTCTGGCTTCGTAATGTTCTTATGTACGATAAAGATTTAGCTGGACAAACGAAATGTTGGTAGATATGCCAAATTTCCAAAATGCAGGCCAGTCTCTTGATAATAAATATAACAAAATTATCTGGATTTTTAGATGACTTTTTCTAATTAATTAGTTATGATTATGGAGTTTTCTGTGATCAAAACCGTACGTTATATCTACTCGTTGTTGACGTCCCCTTATTTGCAACAGGCAAAGCCAATCTTCTTGATAACAGGAAGAAAGAGGAAGAAGAATTTCCCGTTAGATGTTAGTGTACTGTTTGGTATTGCGGAATCTAGAAGCTTGATTGATCTTTGATCCTGTAAATAGTGACTGATAATAGGCTAAAATGTATAGTTTAGCCTACGTTTGGGCTCTAACTTAAGGATGCTTTACTGTTGTAAGTGAGTAAATAATGCAAAAATTGGCTTTAATGGTAACTTTTATGTCTCACAGGAGTGCAATAATCAAATGAGGACTTATGATGGTGATCCGGGCAAAAATTGGAGTTAATGGACGAAAAAAGGGAACAAAGCTCGTTTGCAGTGGAAAACCCCACTAGCGCGGACATTAGCGCGGCCTTAGTGTGCCCGCGCTAGTCAGCAGTCAAAAACAGAATTAAACCCCACTAGTGCGGGCAGTAGCGCGGCCTTAGCGCGCCCGCACTAGTCCAGATGCGGAAGCCATGTGTTAAAAAGGGCAATTTCGGAAGTCCAAGCAAATTCACATAAACTATAAAAGGTTTAACATGTCCAATAGAGAAGGGTTCCGAGTTTTTTGGAGAAGAAGCAAGAGAGGCAAGGAGGCAACTTGGAAAACGATTTTTTTTATCTCCTTACTTTATTCTTTTATCAATGACTATGAAATCTTTTGTAGTTTTTATCGTTGTCATGAGTAGCTAAATACTTTAATCTAAGGTTTTGGTGAAACCCGTTGGGGATGACTTGGTTGTTATATTAATATAGTTTTAAATTGGTTGTTAATCTTTATTTGTTCATCTATGTTTTGATTGTGGTTAATTGAAAGGGCCCTCAATTATCCGTCCCTATTTAGTATGTATCTGCTTGAGAGAGAGTGCATATTTAGGTAGTTGTTTGAACAACGTCACTTTCGGAGTATAGACGAGAGTCATAACCGAGGGTTTAGAGGTTGGATTAGAGATAACGATACCTCGGGTGCAATCTAAGTGAACTGTAATGCGAATCTAGCTAGCGTAGCTTGAGAGAGTGCGTCTAGTAAATTATCATAAATGTTTGAGAAAGATTTATGATAGCTGGAGAGTTCATGATTGATAGAGACAGCTAAATCACAGTTATAAGACATATACAACCAAGGGAATCAACAACGGGGGAAACCATTACCTTAGACCTTATTCCAATTGTTTACACATCAAGCATAGTTAATTTTCAGCTGTTAATTATTTTCAGTTTTTAGCTGTTAGAAATACCATCACTTGTTAATCACAAAGTTTGGGAAAATTGATTCTGTGAATTTAGTAAGTCCGAAAAAAGTAATTGATAGATTAATTCCCTGTGGTTCGACTCTGGGTAAAATTACTCATATTATATTTGCAACGTTCACGTGTCTTTTTATAAGGCATAGTTGGGCGATATCAAATTTTGGCGTCGTTGCCGGGGAATTAACGGTGTTGTCAATTACATTTGAAAGAAGTACAAAACAAAATTCGTAGTATTGTCAGTTTTCTCTATACCCAATCTTTTCATTGAAATTCTAACGTTTGAATTCTTGTGGAATTCAGGTGTATGCCTAGAAATTCTTTGAGGACTGGAGAACTGCTAGAAGGACTCTCAGACCCCGAGAAACATTCAGGGCATTGAACCGCGCCAACAAGAGAAACCAACAATCCCAACAACCACACCAGCTCGAATTTGATATGGGTAACACATAAAACGTCATTGGAAACGTTGAGGATCCGCCAGCAAACCCCAACGTCAGAGTAGTGGCACCTCTTGTGCTCGAAGCTGCACTTTATGACTGGGCACAACCCACAGTTGATAACCTGGCAATTGCCATAGCTGTGCCCGCAATTCAAGCGGAGACATTCCAGATCACTAACAACATGCTGCATCTGCTGCAGAATAAGGGACTGTTCTCCGGGTCACACATTGAGGACCCTCAGCAACATTTGAAAAATTTCCTGTCAATATGTATGACTCAAAGGTAGCCAAATGTGACCCCAGAAGCTATCAAACTATTGTGGTTCCCATTCTTTGTGACTGGGGAAGCTCTGAATTCGCTCCCAATCAATTCCATTGTCACCTGGGAGGAATTAGTAAAGCAGTTCCTGAATAATTTCTACCCGCCCAACAAGACTGCTAGGCACATTGATAAAATATTGCAATACAAGCAGCAACCGACTGAAACCTTGCAAGAAACATGGGAGAAATTTAAAGGGATGCTGGTGAAGTGTCCTCATCATGGCATTCCAGACCAGATGCTCGGCCAGAGATTCTACATGGGGTTAGCTGACAATCTAAAGGCAAATGTGGATGCTTCAGCTGGAGGTGCATTTTTGAGTAAGACATTCACCGACTGCAAAGTCCTTCTTGATAAGATGTCACAAAATTCGGGGTGGATGACTAGAGGTACAACACTTGCACCCATAGTGCATTTAGTTCCTCTTGACCCAAATAATTTGCATGGAAAGAACATGGCCACACTCATGACCCAGATGAGCATACTGACAAAGAAGATTGATGAGATGGGCACAAAACAGGTATACATTGTTGATACAACAAATGGAGGACTGTGTACACCTTGTATTAATCAGTCTTATGTGTGTTCATGGAGCGGAGAAGGTGAAAATCAAGGGGCAAGAGAAGATATGAATTATGTCAACAACTTTGGGGGTCAGAGACAAGGAGGACAGTAGTGGAGACCGCCACAAAATCAGTAGTACAGGCCAAACGTGCAACAGCCTGAGGGTATGCACCCTCAAGGCCAATTGGTGCCAGTACCATATTAGAAACCACAGGGCTATCCTCAGCAAAATCAGCATCAATTAACATATCAACCACCTCCTCAGCTGCAAGATAACAACATGATGGAAATCAGGGGCATGCTTCAGCAACTCATTGGGACAAATAATAAAGTGCAGGAAAAGTTGGCAGTGCATGATTCAGCTATAAAGAACATTGAAACGCAGCTGGGACAACTGTCCACGGCTTTAAACAACCGCCCTCAAGGAACCTTTCCTGCGGACACAAAGATAAACCCCAAGGAGCAAAACCCGAATCAACTGATGGCAGTAAGTCTCCGGAATGGGAGAGATTTAGATAGAGAGCAGGAGATTATACAAGCCAGTAAGGAGAGTACACCAGACACTCCAGTTCCATTAGAGGTAGAGGAACCAACATAACTTACTGAAATGGTGGTTGAACAGAGTCATGAGGAAAAAGGCAAAGATAAGATGAATGAGCAAGCTGCAGAATAGGTGGCACCTCTTGTGCCAGAAAATTCCAACAGAGAGAAGCCATCAAGCAGTGCACAAAGGGTGATACCTGCACCCTTCCCTTAGAGATTGGTAAGACAAAAGAAGTCAGACCAATATAAGAAATTAATGGAGATGCTGCGTCAAATTCAGTTGAATATTACTTTGAAGGATGCCTTGAGGGAGATGTCCGGTTATGCAAAGATGATGAAGGATCTAATGTCACGGAAGTTTGATTTTCAGGATCTTTCCACTGTGACTCTGACATAGACCTGCATCGCAGTAGTGACGAGACCGATGGCTCAAAAGATGTCTGATCCAGGTAGCTTCACTATTCCATGCACAATTGAGAGTTATGCCTTTGCAAAGGCATTATGTGATTTGGGAGCCAGCATAAATCTGATGCCGCTGGCTGTGTACACCAAATTGGGCATTGGCAGAGCTTGGCCGACTTTGATGCTGCTACAGCTGGCTGACCGCACGGTGAAAAGGCCAACTGATATTCTTAATGATGTGTTGGTGCAAGTGGGGAAGTTCGTGTTCCCTGCAGACTTTGTTATTCTGGATTGTCAGGTAGATGAGGAGATACCTCTCATTTTGGGTAGACCATTTTTGGCCACTGGAAGAGCATTGATCGATTGTGAGACTGGGGAATTAAAAATGAGACTGAACGATGAAGAAGTCATATTCAATGTTCATCAATCTATGAGGAGACCCAGTGAATATGCTAATTGCTCTCTAGTGGAGGCAGTAGATGTGATCCTGCAAGAAGATGATGTGACCCTGACTGTTAATGATCCATTAGAGGCATGTCTGACAAATTTAGAAGAGATGGATGGTGAAGGGTTAGCTGAATAGGTCATGGCACTTGAGGGCCAAGGATTCTGGACAAGGGAAACTCAGTTCGAGTCCCTTGAGTTAGAAAAAAGGGCTACACCTCCAGCAAAGCCATCAATAGAGGAACCACCCAAGATGGAGCTGAAGCCACTCCCAGATCACCTCAGGTATGTTTTCTTAGGCCCTGATTCTACTTTGCTTGTTATTATATCATCCAGTTTGCTAGATGTGCAGGTAGAATAGCTCTTACGGGTACTGCAGGAAAGTAAGACTGCCATTGGCTGGACCATGGCAGACATAAAGGGTATCAGCCCAGCCTTTTGTATGCATAAGATTCTCTTGGAAGAAGGGCACAAACCTTCCAGAGAACATCAACGAAGGCTTAACCCGAACATGAAAGAGGTAGTAAAGAAGGAAGTGATCAAATGGTTAGATGCGGGAATCATCTTCCCCATCTCTGATAGCAATTGGGTCAGCCCTATCCAATGTGTGCCGAAAAAGGGGAGAATGACTGTTGTGCATAATGAGAACAATGAGTTGATCTCAACTCGTACAGTCACGAGATGGCGGATTTGCATGGACTACCAAAAATTGAACACAACCACCCGGAAGGACCACTTCCCCTTGCCTTTCATTGACCAAATGTTGGACAGGCTAGCTGGGTGATCGCACTTCTGTTTCTTAGATGGATATTCGGGGTACAATCAGATATCAATAGCCCCCGAAGATAGAGAGAAAACATCCTTCACTTGTCCGTATGACATCTTCGCCTTTCGGAGAATGCCTTTTAGGATTTGCAATGCACCGGACACATTTCAACGGTGTATGTTAGCCATTTTCGCAAACATGGTGGAGGTCTTTATGGATGATTTCTCCGTGGTAGGAGATTCATTCGAAGACTATCTTCACAACTTAAAAAGAGTGCTCAAAAGATGTGTGGAGACAAATTTAGTGCTAAACTGGGAGTAGTGTCATTTTATGGTACAGGAAGGGATAGTCTTAGGACATCGAGTGTCCAGTAAAGGAATTGAGGTAGACCATGCTAAGGTTGACGTGATTGAAAAGTTACCACCGCCCACTTCAGTTAAGGCAGTGAGAAGTTTCCTGGGACACGTCGGGTTCTACCGGCGATTCATAAAAGATTTTTCCAAAATTGTTAATCCATTATGCAAACTCCTTAAAAAGGATCAGCCATTTGTGTTTTCTAATGATTGCAGGTTGGCATTTGATGAACTGAAGAAGAGGTTGGTGATTGCACCCATCATTGTTGCACCCAACTGGGAGCAACCATTTGAGCTCATGTGTGACGCAAATGACTATGCCATAAGAGCAATTTTGGGGCAGCGTAAGGATAAGCTGATGCACCCGATTTACTATGCAAATAGAACGCTAAGTGGTGCACAACTCAATTACACTGTGACGGAGAAGGAGATGTTGGCGGCGGTGTTTGATTTTGACAAGTTCAGATCATATCTGATTGGCTTCAAGGTAATTGTATACACTGACCATGCAGCTCTCAGGTACTTGATTGAGAAGAAGGAGTCTAAGCCGTTCCTGATTCGTTGGGTGCTGCTGTTGCAAGAATTTGACCTCGAAATTCGTGACCAGGGCACAGAAAATCAAGTCGCTGATCATCTATCATGACTTGAGAGAGCTGAAAAAGCAGTCAAGGTCGAAGAGATTCTGGAAACCTTTCCAGACGAGCAGCTGCTCGCAGCTAGTCTTGAGGAAGCGCCAGGGTATGCAGACTTTGCAAATTACCTGACCTGTGGTATAGTTCCCTATGACCTTTCACCTGTCCAGAAGAAAAAGTTTTATTGTGATTACCGCATGTATTATTGGGACGAGCCTTATTTGTTTAGACTATGTGTTGATAATATGATCCGGAGATGTGTCCCCGAGATAGAACAATTTTCTCTTTTGCAGGCTTATCACGCATCAGCATATGGAGGACATTTTGGAGGGGTCAGGACAACTGCGAAAGTGCTAGAGGCCGGGTTCTTTTGGCCAACAGTGTTTAGAGATGCACACCTATGGGTGAAGGGCTGTGATGAATGTCAGCGAACCAGGAACATTTTTCGTCGCCATGAGATGCCCATGAACCCGATTCAAGAGGTAGATGTGTTTGATGTTTGGGGGATTGACTTCATGGGTCCCTTCGTCAGCTCATTTGGCAATAAGTACATACTTGTTGCTGTGGATTACGTGTCTAAATGGGTAGAAGCTGCAGCGTTGCCCACTAATGATGTAAGAGCCGTGGTAGGATTTTTGAAAAAGAATATATTCACCCGATTTGGGACACCAAGAGCGATCATCGGTGATGGAGGCACTCACTTCTGTAACAGAGCCTTCGAGAAATTGCTTGAAAAGTATGATGTACGCCACAAGGTGGCTACCCCTTATCATCCGCAAACTAGTGGGCAGGTTGAAGTGTTCAACAGAGAGATAAAAAGTGTGCTAACCAAGACTGTGAACGCCAAAAGAACTGATTGGGCAAAGAAGCTTATGATGCACTTTGGACCTATAGGACTGCATTCAAAACACCATACAAGTTGGTATTTGGGAAGGCCTGTCACCTGCCTGTGAAGCTAGAACATCGAGCTTGGTGGGCACTAAAGCAATTGAACATGGACCCCAATGCAGCTGGAGAAAATCGACTAACAGAGTTTTGGAGGAATTTAGATATCAAGCCTTTGAAAGCATGAGGCTCTATAAGGAAAGAATGAAGAGGTTGCATGACAAGCACATTATGGACAGAAATTTCAAACCCCGTGACAAGGTATTATTGTATAATTCAAGGTTGAGATTGTTTCCGGGTAAGTTAAAGTCCCGATGGTCAGGACCATTCAAAGTGGTGCAAATGTTCGCAAGTGGAGCTGTAGAGATCGAATCAGAATATGGGACAAACAAGTTCACAGTAAATGGGCAAAGGTTGAAACATTACCTTGGAATAGCTGAAGAAAAAAGGGATACTGTGGTGATCAATTTGAAAGAACCCAGTATGCGAATGAGGAGTGATGATCAAATACTTGCGTCGTGTCGCGACGTTAAATCAGGCGCTGCGTGGGAGGTAACCTATGAATGTGTTGTTAAATGTAGTATGTAACTTCATGTATTAAAAAAAACGCCTCAGATTTAACTAACTAGCGCGGCCGCGCTAAGCCAGCGCACAGCCTGCGCTAGTTGGGTTTCACACTGCCTCAACATTAACCAACTAGTGCGGCCGCGCTAAGCCAGCGCGCAGCCCGCGCTAGTTGGGTTTCAAACTACCTCGCGTCATTGAACTAGCGCGGCCGCGCTAAGCCAGCACGCTAGTCCAGGTAAGTTCCGCCTAATTTTTTTATTTTATTTTATTTTATTTTTTATTTCTTTAACCCTTTTAACTTACCACATACCCTCCCCGCCCCTCTTAATTCCCCCAATCTCCCCTCCTCTCACACGATAACCTAACACCTAAACCCTCTCTTCTTCTTCTTCTTCATCTATTCCTCCACTCCCCCTCCTCCATACCCAACCATTTACAGCACCACCTTCCCTTTCTTCCTCAATCCCTCCACTTTTGCTCTCATTCCCTCTACTGGTATGTAATTCTTCCTTTAATTTCGTTGTAGTTCTCTAATTTCATTTTCTTGTTTCTTTTTACTTTGTATAGTAGAATGTAGTCTTATTCTAGGTAGAAACATATGTTAGTACGGGCTGAAAATTGAAAACATACAAATTGTGGATGTGTGGTGTGTTTATTGGGTTATTGTGGTGGTGTTCCTTGTGTTGAAGGGATAGTTGGGGCTTAAAATTAACCATTGGCCACCATGTGTTTGTTAAAATTCCTCTTTGGAGGAAGTATTGTGACCATTCCGGGGTGAATTCTGAGTAGCCACATTTTGGTCACCCGATTGAATAGAACTGACGTTGGCCTATTTGCAGGTACCATGGCTCCTCGTAAACGCCAAGCAACAGGTTCCTTATCCAGCTGCCCGACTACAGCCAACACTGGGGGAAGGCCTCGAAAGTCGGTTGATACAAGGCCCTTCAATAGTCAAAAGTTCGTGTCCGCCAAGGCACAGGACAGGTTTAACAAAAAAGAGGCCAAAACAATTGTGCCGGAACAGGCCATGGATCCCAATGCACTGGGGACTGCCTGCCCCAATATACCATTCGAGTTGAGGTGGCGACACCTGGACATATTCTTTGAGGAGCCTATCACTGCAAATGTCATGCTTATTAGAGAATTCTATGCAAACCTACCAGAACATGATGACTACAGAGTCACAGTGCACAAAAGACCGGTCAATGCTTCTTTGGAGACTATCCGGACTCTATACAGGCTTCCTCCACCAGATCAGGGGTACGTGGATGCATACCAATCATACAGTGGCAAACATACTTCCTGGTCCACATTCACTGATACCATTTGTCAACCAGGAGCCACTCTACAGTGGTACAAATATGGAAATAAGATCCACTCCTCGACCCTCAAGTTTGAGGCCAAATGCTGGTTGTACCTTATCAATTGCAGACTCCTACCCTCCAAGAATCTGTCAGAGGTGAACATCCCTCAAGGGTGCCTAATTTGGTGCTTCATGAATAATACCCCATTTGACGTGGCCAAAGTCATACACGATGAAATGTTCCAGCGGGTCCGGGTTCAACACTATGGGTTATACTACCCATCTCTTGTCACCTGGTTGTGCCTTCAAGCCAATGTGCCGAGCAACCTTGCTTTAGATGGCCGAGTTCCTGTGGTAAATCCTTTCACGACTGAGAGGGTCACCACAGGCAAGAAAGTGGTAGCATCCGAGGAATTGATTGGACATGATTCTAATAATGGTGATGACGCGGAGGAGGAGGAACAACAACAAGTAGCCGATGGTGTGGAGATGGTAGGTGATGAGAAGCCCGCTCAACCACAGGTTGATGATGCTGCAGGCCCGTCTAGATCCAGTCAGGGACAGCGGTTTGACCGCATGAAGCAGGAGATAGCTGAAATACGAACCTCAGTAACTAACCTGGGGACTCGTGTT